TGTGTGTGTGTGTGTGTGTGTGTGTGTGTGTGTGTGTGTGTGTGTGTGTGTGTGTGTGTGTGTCCTTTCATAATAATGCACACACTTGCACACACCCCCGCTTCCACAACACCTTAAATAAAGTCTAAATCTGTGGGAAACACATCAGCTGATCTGCTGCTGACAGAACTAAGCTGTCGTTGAATGCTGTATGAGATCTGGGTCATGTGATAACACAGTAGAAGTCTGAGACATAAGTGAAAGTTTTGGGAAAACCTTGAATCTTGCCCGTATTCCTGTCCTGCTCTCAGTGTAAGTCATGCTGACACACAGCCTCGCTGCTGTTCTCACAGATTAGTGAACGTTTCCTTTATCTGTGGCTTGGACTGCCTTGCACCAGTGATAGTAGCGTTATCACTTCCTCCCTCTCTGATGTTCTCGTTTGTCGTCTGATTCCACCTGAGCAGAGGCCTCGTGGGTCGAGCCGGTAGCTTTCACTGTATAACGTTTTGGCATCTGAACTCAAAGTCGTACTGGTTGAACCACATGTATGTGTGTGTATGTGTGTGTGTGATGTGTTCTATTACAGCTTATCCCTGTCTAGTAGCTCCTGCAGTTCATTCTGGATGTCCTCTGGCAGCTCCAGAGGAGGCAGGTCATCCAGACACAGGTCTTCCTGAGCTGGCATTTCCAACGGTGGCAGCTGAGGGATTGCGATCTCCTTTCCCTTCCTTTTACTCTCCCCTACTTGTCCAACTCCGGTTCCCATAGGACCACCTGCTTGTGGGAGCACCCAGAGCTCGGAGCGCTCCACAAAGTCGGCTGCCTCCGAGTGTAGCCTCATGTTTTCCAGTCGTAGCCGCTCGTTCTCGGCTCTCAGCTGCTGGTTTTCGTTCGTCAGGCCGTCAACCAGGAGTCGCAAGTTCTCGATGGTCGTCTGTTGTTCTTCCAGGCGCGTTTTGTCATCTTTGGTGGTCTTAGATCCCGAACACACTGGAGTTAAAATCTGTGTTCCTCCAGTCTGCCGAGTCTGAAGCTGGTATAGTAAGGTGTCATACTCCCTCTCCCCGACGCTTCCAAGCTCTGCAGCTGAGGCGCCTGGAGAGGCATAGGGCCGGCTGCTGCCCGTGGACGGAGATTTTGAAAAGAACCCTGGCCCGGTAGCCTGCACTAGACCAAGTCGTGTCTTAACCGCCTCTCGCCGAGCTTCTCTCTTCCAGCGCTCTTGGATTAACCGTTGCTGTTTAATGTGACTGTCCCTCTGCAGCTCCATGGACAAACGAGCCTACAGCCAAGGAACAAACAATCACTGCCGTGATACAAGACATACACAAACAATCAGCTCTGAAACTCTGACGATCAGGCAGGTGGGTGAGTGACTTCTGACTTTTCTACGTTTAAGATTTGTCTGTTTTTAAGACTACTACAGATTACTACTTATTGAGATTTGCACAGAGACTGATTAACAGTAGTAGTGCTAATAAAAAAAATCCTCAGCGTATCCAACCAAGAAGAGGCCACGGAGACCACATGTCAATGTAGTTTTTATTTACAGCAGACATGTGCAGGTCACCTCTGTCACTACACCCCTGAATCTGCTCTGTGGTCCTGCTCTGCCCCTCTGACACCCTCATGTCTAATCCTGTCCGTCCTGGTCAGGCCTAATGAAAAGTCTTAGCATCTTCAACTCTTTTTGTTTGTGCTGCTGTCTCCAAACCATACATCACAGCAGTGTGATCTACAGTGTCTGCGGTTACACCCGTCTCATTCACACATGCATTCTGTCTCACGTCTACTGATTTTCATTGCTCTTCTTCAACTGTCAACATGACCACTGGCCATCAGAGCTACTGATGTACTCCTGCCTGAAACTCCGTCTGTCATTCCTGCTTTTACACCTCACCCACTGTCTCGCTGTCTTCCTGATGTTACATGTTCAACATTACATTAAGTTTATTTTCCCCTTAAATTTTTCTTTGATGATAAGATGGACATTTTAGAGGAAGTGACCCTTAACTTCAGCTGCTGCTTTAAAAACAAACAAACTTGAGTTGTCATGGCTTCAGTTTTCCTCTGGGGTCTACGTCAGTGGTCCCCAACCTTTTTTGGGCTACAGACCGGTTTAATGTCAGACAATATTTTCACTCATCGGCCTTTAAGGTGTCGCGGATAAATAGAACAAAATAAAATGACACGACCGAGACAAAAACTGTGGTATTTTGTAAATATAATAATAAATATGAATTCACTGTGTAATTGTGTAACTGTTTTAGCAGTGTCCTCCTGAAATGCGCCAACAACATTGAGAGTAACATCCTCCTCTCTGCCCCTTAATGCTCTCTGGTCGCTATGGTAACATGTAAATATTTCTTTCAAAATAAGACACAACTACAACACGGGAAAAGACCTGGGGAAACAGAGTTAACGATAAAAACCCTGAAAACCATAAATTTCACACCCGAGCCTCAACTCTCGCTGCCCGGTACCAAACGACTCACGGACCGGTCCGCGGCCCAGAGGTTGGGGACCGCTGGTCTAGATGATCTACAGCATGCTACAGGTGGTGCTAGAACTGTGTGTGAATCTGAATCAGCATGTTTACATGACAGAGAATATGTTTCACTCCATCACTGATCAAACACAGAGAGATAAAAAGATAAAACTGAGTGTCTCACCTGCTCACACACGGGTGCCTTCATTGCCTCAGTCAGAAAATCTGGTAGTGAGACAGAGTGTGTGTGTGTGTGTGTGTGTGTGTGTGTGTGTGTGTGTGTGTGTGTGTGTGTGTGTGTGTGTGTGTGTGTGTGT